GTCTCTCTCCCTAAAACCTTCAAACAAGGTCAGAAATCTAGGGGTAATACTGGACTCAGACTTAAATTTTAATAGCCACATCAAATCAGTAACATCAGCAGCTTTTTACCATCTAAAAAACATTGCCAGGATCAAAAACATAGTGTCTAAAGCAGACTTGGAGATTCTTATCCATGCATTTGTCTCCAGTAGGTTAGACTACTGCAATGGCCTGCTCACAGGTCTGTCCAAACAGGCTGTTAAACAGCTGCAGTACATTCAAAATGCAGCAGCTCGAGTCCTGACAAGAACCAGGAAGTACGACCACATTAGTCCAGTCCTCAGGTCTCTGCACTGGCTTCCTGTGGCTCAGAGAATAGACTTTAAAACAGCTCTGCTTGTGTACAAGTCTCTCCATGGCCTCGCACCAAAATATATTAGTGACATGTTAGTCCCATATGAACCAGCCCGGACTCTGAGGAGCACAGGGACTGGACTCCTGTTAGTGCCCAGAGTCAGAACTAAACATGGGGAGGCTGCTTTTCAGATTCATGCTGCTAAAATCTGGAACAGTCTTCCTGGAGATGTGAGACAGGCCTCCTCTCTGACAATGTTTAAAGCCAGGTTAAAGACAGTTCTGTTTAGCTGTGCATACAACTGAGGGATTTTATATTTGTATCTTTCTTTTTAATGTTCTGTGATTATTTATGATTTTAATGCTTTCTTGTTTTGTTCAGCACTTTGAATTGCCTTGTGTATGAATTGTGCTATATAAATAAACTTGCCTTGCCTTGCCTTGCCTTGCCTATTGCACACCCCACTTTTACGTTTTTTTTTTGTTAAAAAAGTTTAAATTATCCAATAAATTTTGTTCCACTTCACGATTGTGTCCCACTTGTTGTTGATTCATGACAAAAAATTAAATTTTTATATCTTTATGTTTGAAGCCTGAAATGTGGCGAAATATTGAAAGGTTCAAGGGGGCTGAATACTTGTACAGGGAAATATCAGTTTATCACAATTTAATAGGATGCACCAGTAGGATTCGATATGGTTCAGTAAGAAAAAGACATTTGAGCCCTTATCCAACATGCCACCCATTTTTTATCATAAACACAACACGATTTGTTGGGTAATTTTCATATTAATAAGTGCAAACTACCTGTTAGATCTGCCCCCACAAGTTCTTGATTGGACGCAAGGAATTAAAATCCGTAACAGCTGAGGCCTCTCCATTGGCAGCAAATCTTAATAATAATAATAATACATTGTACTTATATAGCGCTTTTTTGGACACTCAAAAGACGCTTTACAGAAGAAAAATAAGAAACAAAAAATAAAAAGCTAAAAATAGTTATGTGTAGGCAGGGTTTTGAGAAGTGATTTGAAGTCCTGTAGTGAGTCAGAGTTCTTGATGTGTGATGGGAGTGAGTTCCAGAGAGAGCTGCAGCAAAGGCTAGGCCCCCCAAAGTTCGGCACTTTGTTCTGATGGGAGTGAGGAGGTTGGAGTCTGTGGATCTGAGGCGGCGGGTGGGACAGTGATGATGGAGGAGGTCAGTGAGGTATGAAAGGGCCAGGTTATGAAGGGACTTGTAGGTGAGAAGGAGGGTTTTATGTGGTAAGGGAGCCAGTGGAGTTGTTTGAGGACAGGGGTGATGTGGTCTCTGGAACGGGTGTGGGTGAGCAGGCGGGCGGCAAAGTTCTGGATGTATTGCAGTTTTTGGAGATGGAGTGGAAGGGAGACCGTAGAGGAGGCTATGGCACTAATTGAGTCTAGAGGTGATGAAGGCCAGTATAACGGCAAGCTTGCGCACAGAGGGGGAAGCGGCCATTGATGGAGATGGAGATGTTCTGGGCAGAGGGGAAGAGGGATTTGGGTCCGGTGAGGATGAGTTCTGTTTTGTTGCTGTCGAGTTTGAGAAAATTGTAGTCCATCCATGTTTTAATGTCAGAAATGCAATGTGTGATGGTGGAGAGGACGACTCTGAAATCGGCATAGCACTGGAAATTAAGTCCAATCTGGTTTTTGCCCACACCCTAGCACAGAAACAGCATTCCTAAAGCCTAGCGTACATCGACAGAGAAACTGGGGACAACTAGTTGCAAGGCGGCTTTTGGCAACTGAGAGGAGATGGTGGGAGATGATCAGTTGCCGAAATCGGTCGATGTGCGCGCTCTTACAACTGGAGATGATCAGTCGGTCTCCAGTTCCAGTCAGTTGCCCGTGTTCTACTTTTCGGCAACTAGTTGTCCTCAGTTGCCCCGATGTGCGCGCTCCATGCGCCGCTCCGACAACGTGTGTGTATTGCGTGTATTGCGAGCCCGCAACAGTTTGTTGTCAGAAAAAACACTGTAGTTGAGGCCAGTTGCTGTCGATGTACGCGCTGTTATTCAAGAGACTGGCCTGCGACTCAGAGTTGCCCGTTTTCGCCAGATTGTCGATGTGTGCGGGGCAGCAACTCAGAGGCGACGGATATAATCAGTTGCCAGTCCGATGTACGCTAGGCTTAAAAGTGACTAATGATCTCCGCCTTGCTCTCTCCTTGCGATTCTGATCTGATGTGAACCATGGGGCAGAGGCAGAAACGGAGACTGTTTTTGTTTTAGGAGGAGCGAGCTGGTTAAGGCAGGAGGGGAGGGACTAATTCAAGAGGTTGACAAGTTCTGAAGGGGTGGAGTTTGTTTGGAGGCAGGTTGATAAAGATTCAGATATGCAGGATGAGAATGTAGTGTGATTGAGTAATGTAAGATTACGGAAGGTTATTGAACGGGTTTGATTAGGTGTTGGAATGGGGGTGATGATGTCCATGATGAAGGCTGGTCAGATATTGTGAGGTCAGATACAGTTAGGTTGTGCACAGAGAGTGGAGATAAGCAGACAAGATCGAGGATATGCCCATGGGAATGAGTGGGTGAGTCGACATGTTGTGTAAGGTCGAGCAGTTTAATATGTCCAGGAAATCTGCAGTGAGTTTTGAACTTGAAGTGTCAATGAGGATGTTGAAGTCACCAATGAGAATAGATGGGAAGATGGAAGAAAGCTGGCTGTAAAAGTCTGTGAAGTCTTAAACAAATGATTTTGAGGTGGGCGGTAGATTATCGCAATGAGAAATGACTTAGTACCGGGGAGTGGGAAAACCAAGTGCTCAAATGATGATGAGGCTGGAATGGGGATGGGGCGGAGATTGAGTCTATTGTGGAAGATGATGGCGAGTCCCATGATGGATGTACGGGGGACGTCGGAGGAGGCAGAGCTGTTTAATGGAAGTTTGTATGTGTCCGAGGATGCAGGAGCGTGGTGGTTCAGTCTGAGGAGCTGCGTGGATGTGTACCGAAGTGCCATTGCTGGATGGTGGATAGTTCTGCAGCCAATATCTGATATATCTGTCACTGATGCAACAATGTTCATCAGTGATACACTATTTTTATTTTGGTAGAGTATCTCCTGGGGCACTGGAAATAATCTGGATATATCTCGATCAGGTGTAGTTTATGTGAACAGCAGAGATGAATGAAGGGACTTTTATGTGTTTGGATCTTTTAATACTTTTAAAGAAATTTTGGGTGATTAGGGCTGTTGTTTATGAACTTATTATTTTGATTCCATCCAGGTTTAGTTACTCTAAGATGCACCTTCATCAAAAAGAGATGGGAGTGATGCATGAGTCCCGACATGGAAGCCAACAGTTAATTTGCCTCCTTCCCAGAGTTCATTGTGCGCATTGATCATGACAAGTCAACAGTGCCTTCAACACCTTGTCATTAAATCATGTTAGGCCCAGTTTAAACAGTCGTCCTGCGGCTTTGTTTTGCTCCATCAGCTGTTGGCTAAGAGTTACATTGCAACACAAAAACCTGCAGTTCATATTCAAGTATAGTCTGTATGTGGACAAAATGTAATTACCCTTAAAATGTAGCTAGTGCAGTGTGTATACAGGGATGCTTAATAGTCCAGACAGTACTGAGATATATCCTTGTTTTCAATGGACACTGCATCCAACAGGTTTGATAGTTTTACTTACTTCACACTCATTCGTCATGGTGTTTCTAATACTATTCAGTCAGACTAAATGTGTTCAAAAGAGTTCAAATGAAGATTAGATATAGCACAGCAGCAGCACACTGAAACAGAGATACAATACTTACCAGTGTGATCGACTGTAGCATGAGAAATCAGAAAGTCACATATTAGAAGGCCACTGAGAAATGCTAAGCTTACCATGATATTTATGTTTACTACAAGTTTAGATTTTTGTGTTCCAACTCAACATTACATTCTCTACTATGTTTGAAACACATTACTGAAAATGAAAAAAATTCTCTAATAATTACCAACTCATAGCTCAATAAATTATAGATAGAATAGAACATTTTGGAGCTCTGTCTATCTATCGGTGCACTTCAAAAACATAATTTTATTGTAATTGTGCCGATATAGGTTGTTTACTTCATTTTTTATTTATTTATTAGAGCTGTAGAGGGTGCCATGTGTAACTTCTACCGAAAACATTATAACAATTCTGCCATTTTTTGCTTTAGCTGGGGATTTTGTATGATATTAAGTAGTAGTGCTCTTTTATCTCATTATCTCACAGGAGCAGCATATATCTCTATCAACAAACCAATTTAGATGGATTACATATTGATGTATAATCGCAATAAACAATAATGTTAAAACTACTGCATGCGATAACTACAATACAGCAGGATTATGTCGAAACCCAGTAAACCCTTTTTTAAATGGTCTGAGCTACAACAAACAAACAGCAGTTCCAGACAAAAATATTTTCCTGAATAACAATGGAAATACCAATGATCTTACCACTAACGCAAAGAAAATCTACAAATGATAATCACTAAGCCCAAATATATCGTACCACTGAACAACAAGTCAATATAATAATTATCATGACAGGAGATTTTGTCAATAACTTGAGTCATAGCCATACTATTCTTACTACAACTTATTTTCCAATAACTCTCCTCAGAGTGAATACAGAGAGGACATATTGTGGCCGTACTCGGGTTGGGTTGGAGCAGGACCTCGGTCTGTCTGTAGATCTTCTCGGTCCAGTTTTTGGTGCTGTCGGCGCGGCTCATCAGGTTTTCAAAGTGGGCATCCAGCTCGGTCCTCTCCGCCTGGCCCAGCTTCTCCTCTGTGTACTGCAGACAAGCAACGACAAGGAAAAAGCGTTTGCATGGAATTAGACCTGTGGGATTAGACATCATTATGAACCCAATGTACATGAATACATCTGTTAACTGTAAGCTCTATGTGCTCCCTTTTTCTGTTTGTGCAGCAAACTGTACAGCACACACAGCTCTCTTAAAAAATAAATAAAAGAGCATGTACTGCCATCCTTGGGAATGTGCAACACGTATTCAATTTGTTGAAATAGGATAAAAAATAAATATATATATATATTTATATACATCATTTCGAATTAGCAGCATCTAACACAGAATGATAAGATTTATAGATTCCCCCCACCCCCCTTTCAATAATAAAAAAAGATGATACAATTAAATACGTACCAAAACCTTATGGTTTTGGTACGTATTTAATTGTACATTTCTGTGTGCAACCAACCATACCACAACAAGTGGTCACCATCTTCCAAAATCAGGACATAAAACACGTTATTAACCAACACCTGGCAATTATTGGGTAGAAGAGAGATGTGTTATTATGTGTCATATAACATTTCATTATAATTATAGCGAACACACAATACATAACACCTTTACAACAGTATATTATAATCAGTTGTTATGAAAAACCTAAGACTGAAGACAAAGCTGACATTTTACTTGTCATTCATAATTCATTGATGGATTTATTAAATATTTATAAAACAATATATTCCATTTGAGTTTATCTAGGTGTGAAGGGTCTGACTCAGGACGCATTTGTGTACAGATAAGACAATTTTACTGAATAGATCACCATTTAAATGCATGTACAGTGGCAGTAATGTTGAGTTGGGAGGCTTGTTTGTCAGGCTGCAGGACAGCTTCAAAACAAGGAAGTGAGTCGCACACATACGTACAATAAAATGGCAAATGTGTTTCTGCTGACATGCACACGTACTGTAAACCACGCACTGGTATTTCAGCCACTTGTTTGAATTATATATTTGCCTTTTCCAGCCAAAATGTAGCAACAATTATTGATCAAATAGCTGCTAATGTCAAAGCTAACAACACGAGAGCTCGTCATTTATTATTTAAAGACAAACGTAACTTGATATTTTATCTATAGTGCAATACGTGTCAAAGAAGCTAAGCGGGGTGATGGGTGATTGTTGATGCATGATTGCGGCTAAAGCTAAAGCTAGCTAGGTTAATAAACACGCAGTAAAAGACCTGCAGCACGGACAGACCCACCAAGCTACTTGAATGAATGTAAAACACGCATTTCTCCAGCAGAGTGTGGATTTGTACCTGGACAGCTCGTGTGAAGAACAAACCAGCCCCACAGGCCAGTTTTTTCACGTTAAAGTCCATTTTCAACGAGTCTGATGCTGCTGGTGATGTGCACGGCTCTCACTGACAGGCACGGAGCACGGGCTAGTCACGTGAACAGCGGAATGACTAGTTTTTGTGTTATTTTGAATAAACTTTTTCTTGTATCTACATTACTTGTATATATATATATCCGCATTGGGATTCATACTTTGATTTATAAAAACCTATTTTTTGTCTTGTTGTCTTAATCTGTTTCTATTCATTACACAGATGTATCCCGTGAATAAAATAACGATTACGTGTTCAAGATTGTTTTTGAAAGGAAACAAAAATAGCCAATCTTGAATCTTGTTTTTATGTTTTTTGTTCTTTCTCCGTCTGTCTATTTTTTTCCCTAACCCACTTAGCCAATCGCTCTCACTTCTTGTGCCTATGCCAGCCAATGTTCGTACTTGACAACAAATTACATTGTACTTACAATGTATCATAGTTATTGTAAAGATTAGAGAAAGCACTAGATCATTTGGTAAGAGTAAACCTGCAGATCTGCTTTAGGGAAAAAAATAGGACGCATGCGCACTGGGCCTTCAAGTTGTCAACGCTGCCAGCTGATAGCCTCGTGTGGAAGGTTTGTGTAAATATTACTTATATTTATACTTTAATTAATAGGTTTAATGCCACTTCTCCTCGTGCATTACATCTCTAAACATAGAGTCCGTGCAGCTCGTTTGACAACAAGTTTGTGTGACGAAGACGTAAACCTTGTAAACTAGCTAGCTATCAACAGATTATAACCAAAGCTAACGCGATGAATGACTGAGGAAAGTGCTGCGTATCCTGTTGGGCTGACTTTTCATTCACTTTTCTTTTTTTGAGGACCTTGTTTGTGTGTTGTGTTGCAGATCTCTTCTCTGCAGTAGTATGCAGAGCAGGTGGACATGGCTGCGTGGAAGTCTCGCACCCGCAGTCTACAGGTGTTTGACACGGAGCTGAGTGCGGATACAGTGGAGTGGTGTCCAGTCGCATCCGATCACAACATCCTCGTATGTGGGACGTACCAGCTGCAGAAGGGGGTAGGTGTGGCAACATGTGTTTTAACTTGGACTAGTTTCTCCCCAGTTAGATTGGTTTAAATATTATCCACAGTTGAGCAGTAAAAACGAGATGTGATGCTTTGGTTTTACAATCAGTCAAGCCTTGATAAAATTGTGCTACTGGGAAAAAACAGGGTCAGTATCCATCTTAATTAAAAGGCCAACATTGTTTTGTCCAAGTTCTTTAATACAGTTATACCTTTACAAAGCAATAACAGAATGGTATCATGAGATCTTACACATACATGATACATGTGGATCCAACCAACACCTTTTCGAACCATGCATCTGACATTATTATTTTTTTGTGATCAATTTTTTATTATTATTTTCAAGGAGAGTGCAGGGATGAGTACAGCTCACAAAAAACACATCATGTACATGTTCTAGTAAAAAACAAACAAACAAAAAACACAAATTTTCCAAGCAGTGTTGGAATACCACTTGATCACAGGCCCACAATGTTCATTATTATCATTATTGAAGCTTTTAGTAGCTTGAACAGTACTGGGAAGCAGATTGAATTAGTGTGTAAACAATGACAACAGAGAGAAACAACCACCCGCCCCCTGGGACCCGAACCCAGGGTCAGAAAGATCTTCTTTCCAGCACGAATAGGCTCATCTTCAGCTAATTGCAAAAGAGAATATAATTTAGAGACTGATCTATATGTTTTCATTAACATTGAATGGATTGAATTGGTAGGCGGAGAACTGTTCCACGGGACCCCATAAGTACACATTGCTGTCCGCAGTTGAAGGTAAATCTTGAAATGCTAAGAGACCGGAAGAGTTGCAAATATCCCGCAAAACATGTACTCCTCTACTGGACCATTGAGAGAAAGAAATTGGGATACCTCCAATAGTAAGCAGAGGATGTTGCTTTAATACTGACCATAAGAAGTGCCATTCACTTCAATATGCATCTGATATTTGTCTGTTATATTGAAGTATGTGAACATGTTTGAAACAAATATCCATCCATCCATTTTCTTCCCATTAATCCATTTCTGGGTGGGGGGGTGGCAGTCAGAGCTGCACCCAGTCCACAGAGCACCAGCCCCTCACTGATCCTCCTGCAGGTGGTGAGTCCACAGGAGCTGAGATCTTTCAGTGGGGCCTTCAGGCAAAGTGGGTTTTAGTGTCTTGCCCAAGGACACAACGACAGCAGTCATCAGTGGGAGTATTTGAAATGAATAATCTAAATAAATGAAAATAACCCCACAAAAATACAAAATTAAATGGATAAAAACACTCAAAGTCTTGTGAGAGTTCAAAGGCTTCTTTCTAAAGTCTACGGCCCCCTCTTGTGGTGTGACTTTTTCAATGCCTTATTGTTCTAATGGTGTCAGATTTTTGTTCGAGCCACAGGGTAATGATGATCGTTGACCCTGATTGCGTATTTATGCTCTTGTTGAAGCCGTGCACTTTTATGGTTTTGTGGAGGACTGGAATGTGTTACTCTGTGTCTGAGTTTATCCACTTTTGAATATAAGTTTGGTGATTAATCCAATATATTAATCATGTAAAATGTTTCATTCTTGAAGAAAGAGTTACAGCATTGTCGTAGTATTTATTTTACATTTGCCTCTAAATGTTTGTGTGGGAAATGGCCTCAACAACAGTTTCTGCTGCAGACTGGAGAAGAGGATGCTGCTCCAAGTCGGACTGGTCGCTTGTACCTCTTTGAGTTTCGCCGCGAGGGGCCGATGACTCCCCCTCTGACAGAGCTCCAGCGCATGGACACAGCTGCTATCTTAGATCTAAAATGGTTGGCATCACTCTGCACACATGATTATCAAAGCTTCTCTTATGTCATGTGAAGGTTCCTGGTGCATGTTGCAGGTGTCATGTGGCCGTGTCGGAGCGGCCGCTGCTCGGACTCGCTGCAGCCTCAGGAGATCTGCAGCTGTACGCTCTGACTGAGGCTCAGGTGAGGACTGTGGCATCAGAGCAACAAGATCAAAGCACATGTTACATGGTTTTTGTCTCATTAGGTCGGCATTTTCCTTCTCACTTTTGAGACTAGTTCTTGTCCATGTCCCAGTAGTAACATTATAGCGGCTTTAGAGGCGAGTTGGGTCCGGTAAAATTGTATGACGCGCTAAATTAGTATAGAAAACAAACGAAGGCTGGATCCAGTTGCGATGACATTGATTTAATTAATAATAAACGCAGCGGTCACAGGCCAAAGATGCGAGGTGATTATACAGAAAAAATGAGTGAATAAACTTCAGCCAGAAAAATAGCAAAAATAAATCAAACAAACGGCGGTCAACAAAAATGATTGCCTCCCAAACAGACCTCTCTCCCCTTTCCGTGCCCCCCGCAGGTGTATGCTCATTCATGATTTCGTGTACCGCGCCCAAACACACACGCCTACCACACACAGACAGGCTCTCACGCACACGGCCACACTCACGGCCACATGCACGCCCACATGCACGCCCACACACACACGCCTACCACACACAGACAGGCTCTCACGCACACGGCCACACTCACGCCCACATGCACGCCCACATGCACGCCCAAACACACACGCCTACCACACACAGACAGGCTCTCACGCACACGGCCACACTCACGGCCACATGCACGCCCACATGCACGCCCACACACACACAGGCTCTCACGCACACGGCCACACTCACGCCCACATGCACGCCCACATGCACGCCCACATGCACGCCCACATGCACGCCCACACACACACGCCTACCACACACAGACAGGCTCTCACGCACACGCCCACATGCACGCCCACACACACACACGCCTACCACACACAGACATGCTCTCACGCACACGCCCACATGCACGCCCACACACACACACGCCTACCACACACAGACAGGCTCTCACGCACACGCCCACATGCACGCCCACATGCACGCCCACACACACACGCCTACCACACACAGACAGGCTCTCACGCACACGCCCACATGCACGCCCACACACACACACGCCTACCACACACAGACAGGCTCTCACGCACACGCCCACATGCACGCCCACATGCACGCCCACATGCACACCCACACACACGCCTACCACACACAGACAGGCTCTCACGCACACGCCCACATGCACGCCCACACACACACACGCCTACCACACACAGACAGGCTCTCACGCACACGCCCACATGCACGCCCACACACACATACACGTTTTTGTTACCTGGTGGGTCCCTTTGACAGGGCCGTTCAGAATGGGACCCATAGACATAATCTTTTTTTACTGGGACTACTTTAAGTAATACAAAACAGTCAATAGAAACCAAACAACTATTTTAAAGGAATTTTATTTTAGATTTTTTTTTTTAATTGCAGTGATTCTATTTTTGACATAGAATTTAATGCCACTCCATGTCCGATGTCTAAGGTCATCTGGTGAGGCATTAATGCAGGCCAGGCAGTGAGACTTCCCAGGGACCTTTCCAGTCTGTATGAAAGGTGTCATGGTCTTCTCCACAGCCTTCACCTCAGATGCAGACCATGGCTTTCTTACACGTTCTAGGGAGAGAAATAAAATTATATTAGCAATATACACTCCCAGGGTTAGGACCAAGCAGCCTGGCTGTAATCCCCCACCTGGTACACTTACCAGAAGGGGCACTGCCACTACCATGGGGTGCATCTGGATGAATGGTTGAAGGTTCTCCGCTTGAAGTTTCTTTTAGCCCGTCCGTTTGTGAGAGGATCTCTACTGCTCTCCCTGTCGCACAGAAAATAAAAATACAAGTGGCCTTTAGGGGAAAAAAATCATACATATTTTAATAATATCAAGAATTACCTTCAGGCTCAATTTGTATCTGGTCGAGGCTCTTTCCTTCGAATTCCGTCACTCTTCCCTGCTCCATGGCCATCAACACTTTGCTGATTTTGGCCAGCTCCAGTGTCCCCTCTGGTAGTCTGTAATATTGCCTGTGGATGCGAATGTCATGGCCGAGGAAGTTGGCAAGTATGTCCATCTCATTCTCTTTCATATTGAGAACTGTAGACATAGTAGCTATGTGCTTTCTAAGTTTGGTTGAGGATAGCATCTCTGGATGCACCGCACCACATTCTTTGGCTACCTGGCGTAGGGAGTCTGATCCCCTGATGTGGGTGTCTGCGCCCGGGCGGGAAAAGAAGTATGGGTTATGGTCAGAGATGGAACAGGCCCTTCTGTTCTCCACCAGCACCTCCATCGAAGCAATCATTTCAGGAGTCAAAAGAACCGGCACTTTCCGACTTCTTTTCCCTTTAATTTCAATGCGTTGAAAATGCTGACACAGCTTTTTCTCAAGTTGGGACAGTCCCAGAGCAATGTCAGAATGGATCCCAGTCTTACTTCTTAAGGTAAAGGCTGTCAGTGGCATCTTTGAAACCTCAACCTTCCCTTCTTCGATTGAAAATGATGACCTCACAAAGAGTCAAAACTGCCAGTTTAGACCAATGCTTAGACGTTGGCTCACTTATTAGGGTTTGCACATATTCAGGTCGACATACCTCAATATGTGCATGCATGGCTCTAACGTCCTCAGTCAGAGGGAGCAGGTCCGGAGTGTTCCACTTGGCTTGCCGGAGGGTCTGTAGGGCAGCAGAAGAAACACAGACGTCCCACCTCTTCTCAAAAAGCAGCCGGCTTCGTTGGAGGTTTTTAATAAATAGTTCATCAACACAATGCTCCATTTTTGAGTCACATTCAAGAATATCTGCTAGCTTTCTGAGGCTATGGCCGAGTTTGAGGGCCAAGGATGGAGTCTTGTATTGATTTGTTTCCTCATCATATCCAGCCACAGACCTGACTGCATCAATCACATGGTTAAAGTTGGAAGGAATAAAGAAATCCTTAATTGTTTTCAGTTTCCCTGCGGTTTTTGCTTCGTTAATTAACCTACCGACTTCTCTCATTTTCTGCCTAATGTAATCATGCTTTGTCTTATCATGCCCGTGTTTTAAGTACAGGTGCTCTCCGAGTCTCAGAATCCCCTTTTCTGCTTTGACAACACCCGTGACCTCATCCTGATGCATTGCCCAAATTAAAGACCACAGCTTTTTGCTGATGCCCTCCGGTACAGGCTGGGCTAGGGAGCAGAGGGACTGGACCCTACTTCTACCTGGTTTAGCCTGGTTTAGCCTGGGCATCTTTCTGTGAAAGCCGGCACCTGGCCACATGCCTCCACAGCGACTTTCGCTTAAGCAATGCCCCACAGTCTATACAGTGCAAAAACTCACTGGATTTAACTGGGGAATTTGGCTGTTTAGCTGGGACTAAAGTTCCAATGCCGGCCTTTAAAACCTCAAAATTGTGCTCACGGTTTCCACTATTCCTGATCAAATCAAACTGAAGTTTACGTGCTTTAGATTTCACAGGTAGAGCCAATGCTCTGGCTACGTCACTTTCATTTCCATGTTTTCTAGTCAAATGACGGGACATTTTGTGGCAGGACATTGAACAGTAGAGGCAGAAGTGTCTCTTGCTGTAAACCCTGCCCCCATTTTTCTTCTTTTGCAGCTGCATGATAACAATCTTATTTGCCTTTGGTTCGTCACTTTCCGAGTCTTGAAGAAAAGTGTTTTTGATTTTTCTTTTTCCATACTTTTTTACAGGTTTCTTCTTGACAGTTAAATCGTCAGAATCTGAGTCGACTTCATCAATTAGGGACTCTTGACTAAGCTGCACAAACAACAAATAATTTGTAATAATTCTATATAACAATTTGAAGTCATGACTTGTAGTCAGCACTTACCAGTGGTTTGTAAGCGTGCGCTTCAGTGTGCTCCTCCATGATGTCTTGCAGCCTAATGAACCACACACTTGCACCTTTTCTAGCCTGACACCTGACTTCCTCTGTTGTGCTGCTCCATGATTGGCTCCAGCCTGCTGGACTGAAATTGCCCCAGTGTGCCCCTCCTTGATATCCCGCAACCCACCACCAGGGTTCCGACACATAACACACTTTTTTCAGGAAAGTAAACCTCCAGGGGTCCTTTCCATATTTTTACAGAGACTGCATAAGGACTGTTAGAAAAGCATTACCCATTGATTATTAAGCTTGGACCAGTGGGGTCCGGTGTTCGGGCCCCACCACGTAAAACCAGTCCCCATGACGTGAGTGGAATCTCAGGTTATGGAACCCACTAGGAGTTGAAAACAAGTGCACACACAGACAGGCTCTCATGCACACGGCCACACTCACGGCCACATGCACGCCCACATGCACGCCCACAACACATAACTCCATCAGCAAAACACCCATTCATTCACACAGTGCCCAAACGTGTCTCCTACAAGTAACATGCTTCTTGGTATTTTTAGTGACATTTTAAAGTGCTAAAATTGATTAAAAAATGTTATCAATATAAATATTTAACCATGTTTCCATTAACCATGATTCAATTATCAAAAAGGTGAGAGTTGTTCTATAATATAGCTTTTTGCATTCAATGGTTTTGTTAAGTCTCTGAGATGACTACAGTTGTGATTTAGGGAATACAAGAATAAATGGTACTGTATTGTATCGTTTTGTATTATTATTTATTATTATGTATTGTTATTTTCACTACCACCAATAGATGTTTATGGCAACACCTCTTTGTTTAATGGTCTGGTTTTGTACGCTCACCTCAGTTTGTGTTCAGTAGGAAGGCGCCGCAAACTACAGAGTCTGAGCAGAGCAGAAGTGGGAGCCGATCGACTGGTGCTGTCTTTAGACTGGTCCACAGGAAGACTGGACAGGTCCGTTTGTGAGCTTTAGTCTCCGTTCGATACTTTCCTCTCTCTCCTCCATCCATGGTTTATTAAGTGCTTTTCACGATCCTTTGAAAAATGCCAAAGCAGGTGTGTGTTTGTGTGTTTGTCTGTGCAGCAGTGACATTCGCGTGGTGTGCAGTGACTCCGCAGGCTGCATTAGCGTGGTGTCGCTGGGAGAGGGCGCTGTGACAGTTCAGTCTCAGTGGAAAGCTCACGACTTTGAGGCCTGGATCTCTGCCTTCTCTTACTGGGACACACAACTCATTTATACTGGTATTTTTGATCATGTTTTTAAAGTAAAGCCCGGCGGGGAGGGCCGGTGGCGGCGGGGATGGGGCACTCAGTGGGGGCGCGGCGAGGTCGGGCCCGGGGGGGGGCGCGGGGGGTCGGCCGGCGCGCAAGAGGCGAGGCCACGCGGGGGTGGCGGGGGGAGGACGCCACCTCGGGGCGGGGGGCGGGCGGCGCGGCGGGTGCGGGGTTGAAACGGGAACGCGGCGTCGAGGGCCATGCACCGGGAGCGGCGCCGGCCGCTGCCCGCCCCGGGGGTGGGCCGGCTGGGGCCGACGGCGGGCATCCGGGTAGCGGCGGGGTCGGGGTGCCACGGCCCGCGGGTGTGACAACCCCCCCCCCCCCCCCCCCCCAGGCTAGCCCAGTGGCCTAGCCGGGGGGGGGGGCAAGCCACCACGGCGGCGGGACCACCCGGGGAGTGCACGGGCAGGGAGCGCCCGGACGATAGGGGGGGCGGAGGGGAGAGAGCAGCAGTAGTTTCAGCAGTAGTATCAGCAGTAGTTTCAGCAGTAGTTTCAGCAGTAGTAGCAGTCAGCAGTAGTTTCAGTAGTTTCAGCAGTAGTATCAGCAGTAGTATCAGCAGTAGTTTTTCAGCAGTAGTATCAGCAGTAGTATCAGCAGTAGTTTCAGCAGTAAGTATCAGCAGTAGTATCAGCAGTAGTTTCAGCAGTAGTATCAGCAGTAGTTTCAGCAGTAGTTTCAGCAGTAGTTTCAGCAGTAGTATCAGCAGTAGTATCAGCAGTAGTTTCAGCAGTAGTATCAGCAGTAGTTTCAGCAGTAGTATCAGCAGTAGTTTCAG